AAGAGAAGTAGCTCACAGATAGAGCCGTCGTAAGGGTGGGGCAAACGAGGCATTTTCCAAGGTTTTCTCATTTTTAGAACTCAAATTAGGCCCGGGATTTTCCACTCTAGAGGCGTTCATTTCGGTTTAGCAAATAAATAAAATTAAAAAAATAACTGTATTTTTAGCTTTGTTTTAGTTCAGGTAACAAATTATAAAAGAAATAAAAGCTTGCATTATAATTGCGACCAACTACGATCAAGATAAAAATCACCAAAAAAGAGAACGAGTCGTTAAAGGCAAATTAAGGCGTCGAATTGCAAATTAGCGGTAGGATCTGGACCAGTGATATTTAAAAATGCATTTTTAAATAAATAAATGAATTTTTAAATTTATAAAGGATTTTTTTATATAATATTCCCTATTTAAAAAAATTTTATTGTTTTTGAAGTTTATTTTTGGTTTTGAAAATATTAATATTTATTTTTGGTTTGCTATTTTTCATTTTCAATCATAAGGATAGAATGGAGTAGCTGAAATCATGAATTATGAAAAATAGAAATCTATTGGTACATAGAAATCTATCTATGTTCATTTCTATGCACAGAACTCAAAATCATAAAATTTTATATATTTAAAAATCTATATATGATTTTTTAAGCAGAATTCTTAAACCCAAATTTCTCATTTCTAATCGTTCCTTATTCCCGCACTATACCTGTATATATTATTAATAAAAATTAAAAGATTCATAATTCGAAAATAAAAATAAAATTTATGGTAGTTGTAATAGAAAAAGTTCAAGTTGTCCATTTTTAAGGATGACTTTTGAAAAAAAAGAATCATAGAATCGGTTTTGATAAATTAGGAGGGAACCTAAAGTTTTTCTCACCAAGTCTAGTGATGGCTCTGAAAAAAACAGGCGTATTTAATAGTTGAAGTATAACATCGAAACAGCGTAATGAGTTTAAATTCGGTTTATGCTTGATATTTTATTTTCCACAGCTATAACAATAACTTTAACTAATATATTGAGGTAAACAACGCAATAAATCATCCAACCTTCCTTTTATATTTTCATAATGTATTTTAAATGGAATATTTTGGATCGAAGCAAGAATATTTACAAAACAAGATTAAAAAAGTGTTATAGATGACAATGAATATTATCTGGAAAAAATTATGGCTTTATTTTAATTAATGTTGAAAGCAATAGAACTTTATTAATTAAAACGTATTTTGATAATTTAATAATTATTATCTTGTGACAGATAGGAAAATATATTACCTCATTAATCATTCTAATTTTACCTAGAAATGAATGCTAAATAAATACCTTTTAGGTTTCGTTCTTTTAAAATATTAAAATAGTTTTCCTATAAGGAAAATATTATGAAAAGCTTTACAATAGAGAAATTATTGAAGATTACAAAGTTTTTACTTATTTTATGCAAACAATTTGCTTCGATAGTATTCACATATTTAAAAATGTGAAACAAATAAAAATAGTTTTATCTCTAAAAGAAATATTGAAATGATACTCTTTTTAAATAATTTTCCTCTTCTTCTGAGTTAATATTTTGAGTAACAATAAACTTTTTGATTTCATCAAATTCGAGAATCGCTTGTTAATATTCAACGACCGAGATTCTAATAGACAGCAATCGACTCGCTTTAGAACCATTAAAGAGAAAATTCACAAACTTTCTTCACAATAGACAGACAACGGGATTTATTTTTGATTGCCGGAATTATTTTATCGCTTTAGTGGTTAAAAGTCATTCTTGGTTTTGATATGATCTTATGAATGAAACAAAGAACTATAAATAACAGGATATGCAAGAAAGATTAAGAAGAATTTAAATAGCAGCCAAATTTGGGATTTTTTTATTTATTTCGAAGCATAAAAGACATTAGAAATTTTGTGATTATTAATCTAATACAAATATTCTTAAACTGTTGACCGCAGACCCTCGGGGGCTCACAAAACGGTTATATTGACTTTAAATTTAAATCATTTAATAAAAATAAGACTAGGTCAAAACGTTTTCTGGTCGGCACACAAACGCACGCACAATTTAACTATTTGGCACACACACGCATAACTAAACAATGCTGAGTAAAAATTTAATTATATTTATTCAACTGCAAATGATCTTACTTCTTAGAACCGAGTAACTTGTACTTGTAAATAAAGCCCCGCTTCCTCACACTGTAAAAAGTTCCGATTTAAATTGCGATAAAAAGTACCGGTACTCAAGGTGCCGGTATTTTTTACAGTAATATTTACCGTAAAATCACTGAATCACTCTAATTAAATAAATATTATCGTAAAAATTACGGTATAATATTTCACGGTAGAAATGAATTTTACGGTAAAATGGATTTTAAAAATGATGCACCCAAAGTGCCTGTACTTTATACCATAATTTGATCCGCAAATTTTTGCATTGCAGTTGATTTCATTCAGCACAGCATTTTTATGTGAACTGATTTTTCGGTTCCATTATTTATGACATCAGAGAACTTAATATAAAATGAACTTCTAAATAAAACTTTCTAATATGGAGCCTGATTTTAAAGTTCTGTGAAATTTAAAGTTTCTTAAAAAACTGAACTTATTTTATTGAAAAATTTTTTTTTACAGAAAACCTTATAATCAGATCTATTTCGAATATGTTTTGATTAGTTTTTTTTTTATAAAAAATAATTATATTTCTACCCATTAATGTTCTTTATATGTTCATCTCCATAAACACTCAACACCATTTATTAAAATAACAAGTGATTAAATTTTGCCAATATTTATTATAAATAACTGCTTATAAAATTCATGAGCTAGAAATAAAGTATGAAAAAAAAGGATTAAATATCTAAAGGAAATTTGTGCTAATTAAACTCCTGGGACCGTATTGCATTAATAACTTTTACTCTAGTTTATAAATATTTATGAGCATTAATAAATCTTTCCAAGAAAATATTGTTTCATGTGTTCTAATTTTTAAGCATTAATATCAGAATAGTTTTGTATTCTACCAATAAAAGTAACGATCTTTATTATACATATATATAAACTAAAATAAGCATATTCGATGTATATAAATAACGTAAAAATATTTTAATTACTTTAATATAGAGTTTTTAATTTGTAAGTAATACTTTGTGTATAAGATTATCTTTTTTATTTCAAAAATTGTTAAGAAGAAAGGTAAAATTTATTAAGGAGCTAATAATAAAATAAAATAATAAAATAAAAAATATTATNGCATTAATAAATCTTTCCAAGAAAATATTGTTTCATGTGTTCTAATTTTTAAGCATTAATATCGGAATAGTTTTGTATTCTACCAATAAAAGTAACGATCTTTATTATACATCTATTATATATAAACTAAAGTAAGCATATTTGATGTATATAAATAAGGTAAAAATATTTTAATTACTTTAATATAGAGTTTTTAATTTGTAAGCAATACTTTGTGTTTAAGATTATCTTTTTTATTTCAAAAATTGTCAAAAAGAAAAGTAAAATTTATTAAGGAGCTAATAATAAAATAAAATAATAAAAAAAAAACATTATTATGTCAAAAAAATTTTATGAATAGTTTTAAAAACTCCAAGTAAACATTTATAAAATTATCAATATTGATTTATTAATATTTATTTATGTCTCATTTATTAATTTATTATTAAATTAATAATAATAAATAACATAATAATATATAAAAAAATAATAATAAGTTAATTTTAAATAAGTACCTGAATAAATAAGTAATTTTACTAAGAAATTACTTTTAAATTATTTATTAGTAACTTCATGATGGTGGTGGTTAGTCCATTTTAGTGATTAATGGAGTTAGCATCATTTCAGCATTAAGCATATTAAAGCCGTTTCTGATACATTTGAATTTGGATATGAAGAAGAGACATTTATCCCAAAAAAATAAATAAAATTGTTTAGGAAAAACTGATTTATTATATAAATCTTATTATAATGAACATAAACATAGTTCATTATTATAAAATTAGGAAAGAAAGCCCCTTAAAGAGATCAAGAGAATCACACTTGTTCTCTCATCAAGAAATATCTTTAATTAACGTTCGGGCTGAGGGCCTAAACCCAATGCAACGGATTCCAATTGTTCCCAACGGATAGATAGGAGCGTAGGCAGAGATACATGGTAGGCGATTTAAAGAAAGATAAAATAGTCAAACGCAAAGCCAACCCCTCGTAGTCAATATTAAATGTGAAAATAATTGACACTTAATATTGATTATTGATCTAAAGCTAATCCCCAAAGAGACAGTGCGAATTAGTTTAACCATGTAACGGAAACACTTTTATGGTAAAAAATGAAGATTAACGAGTTATAAATAGATTTTGTTTTAGATTTAGTAAGGCATCACGTTAATATTATACTTTAATGAAATTATTATTTAACTAAAATAATTCTTCGAATATTGTAAAATTATAATTCAAATGTAGATTTAAATAATGCAAGGATATTTTGTTAAGTCTTTTTTAAGATATTAAAATAAAGAATTGAAATAAAAATTAATCAAATAATATTATTATTTAAGTATGTAAATTATTTTGTAGAAAATTTTAAGATTTAACTAACTATAAGTAGATTTCAAACGTTTTTAATACACGCATTTATCAATTGTTTTTAGCTGGTGCTTATTGATTAGAAATTATTAAAATACAATGGAAAAATAAAAACTGCAATATTGTAATATTCTCAGTTTTTTAAAGTGTATACAACAAACAAATTATTCAATTTCAAGAATAAAAAAATTAAAGAAAATGAAAATCATAACATTTTGTGGATTTTTCGATTTATATTTCTCAATAGTTTACAATTTTGAAAGCCTTTTTAAAGCTTATTTATTAATAAAAGTACGTTAAATTTATTGAATGTACAATTATTTTAAATTAAGCAAAAAATAAAATTGCGATATATAAAAAATATGTAAATATGTATATTATAAAATAAAAAATATGTATATTGTAAGCATACCTATTTTTAGCCAATAACAAACTTCTCTTCGTCGATTTTGAACGTACTTTCAACAAGTTTTATCAATTTCATTCACTACACCGAACTTAAAACTTCGCTTCGCTGGAACCCAGATCACTTTAACTAATGTTCTTTGTAGCTGGTACATTGAGGATTCAAATGAGACATTAAGGAACATTACTCACAAACCTCCAAAGAAAACGGTACAAGGTTGATTGAAGAGTAAAAAGATGGAAAAAATGCGGCACATTCACCCATCCATGGGTCTCGAATGGCGCAAAGATGCTGACAATGCGTTTACAGACTGATGCATTCGTCGTTATGACTAGATCTCTACTGCAATATGTAGGTCAACTAGGTATAAATCCTGAATCAAACGGCATCTCACTAGCGATTTTAAATGATATTTAAGTTTTGGACGAAAATAAAACTGAATTAAAAGTTCTACCTTCTTACGCATCATTAACAAATCAGGTTAGAAAGTTTTTTTTAAACAAAATCTTAACTGGTCTGGCAACTCCTTCCATTTATCGAATTGTATTGGGTATTAAAAGAAAGTAAATTTAAACCATCACTTTCCTTTTATATAATAATAAAAGGAATTTTCAGAACGTTAAAAGTAATAATGACTATTTATTTGTATTGGTAAAAAATGAGTAAAAATATTTTTATTTCTTTTCGACTTAAATAACCTAACACGTTAAAATCTTGAAGCGATAGAAATATTACCATAAATCATGAAATACTATATACACTAAAAAATTTTAGTTTGGATGATATATTACAGTTTAACGTTAAAAAAATATGTATCGTTTATTTCGTAAATAAAAAAATAATAATAGTAAACAGTATATTAAGTTTACGTTTTATTTTAATTTCAGTAAAATTTATAAATCTAAAATTCGAGTCATCAAAAGTATATAAAAAATATTTACCCTTATTCATTTATATAGCATTCATAAATAATGCCATAAAAATATGACAACTGTATTAATAGCTGTATTCTCCTCTGCTCATGCTTTAGCTCAGATGAATAGTTTTTTAGTTTTTGATTTACTAAAATCTCTGCATTTATTATACTATTTACGTATTTTTATAAGTTTGTAGTTAATAGCTTTAATTTGCACGATGAAAAGAATTCTGAGAATTCTGAAATTGCCGTACTAAATGGTAATGACATTTCGGGTAAAAAAAAAACTACAATTCTGTTAATGAAACCAAATATACTGTATTTAAACCATTCATTTGGTAATGTTTCAGTTCATATGGTAAGGATTTCTTATTACTACATTTAGTAAAAAAATACATAACTGTAAAGTAAATTTAACCGAATAAATGGTTTTTATGCCATGCTCTACGCTACCGTGATGAAATTAACCAATTTTACCACATTTACCAAATTTTATCACATATTATTGTAAAATCATGTTTTATTGCTAATTTTACCAAAATCAGCACTTAAGTGCTTCGAAAAAAATTACCGAGCTTTCTGGTGGTCTCATAGAGTACTGACATTGACTGTACTTTTTTTTCTCAGTGTGTTCTTGAGATTATAAACAAGGGTTAATCAGTTTTGGAAATGCATTATGGAAGAAAAAAAATTATTCCAACGTAATGTTCACAAAAAAAACTTAAGTATTCTTTCGTTTATTTAGTACTTGCAATGTTATCTAGAAATAATAAGAAAGCCAATTTGAAACTTCTGCAGAAAACTGAAAATAGTTCTAGTGATAGCTTACTAGTTTCAGTGATAATGGTCCTCATCAATTTCTCTAAATAAATTTGCTCATGAAGCATTAATATTTTTCAAATTTTATTATAATTAAAATAGGGCTTAGCCCATGTAAAAAAATTACCAAAAATTTGGTGTAATAGCTGTCACTATTTTTTGCGTTAAAATAAACTAAGTATATTTTTAAGTACGTAACTCAAACTATCGTACCAAAACATTATATAAAATTGACAAAATAACAATTGTTTGTAACTATTAGTGCAAATATATTATTTACAATGAGCTTGTTTTTTAAACGAAATGTTTTTGATATGAAGCCAATAAATTGATTCGAATGTTCGTGAAAATATATTACAAAACAAACAAAAACTGAATAAGCAAATAAACAAACTATAACAGTGAAAAAAATTTATAAAAAATGTAATTACACGTACTGTAAAAAACTTTTGTTTACCTCAGCACCAAAAACGTTTAGCAACTATACATTGAAACTTTTTACAGTGCAAGCATTGACCAAGTACAGATCTGATACATTACAAGTCAAAATTATTCATTAAAAATTTTTAATTTTCATTATTTGTCAATGTTTTTGAATTATTTAATAATATTTAAATAATTCTCAAAATCAAATATAATTATTTTAAAGAACAAGTATCTTTCTAGGATGTATCAAGCAATACTCTGCAGTTTGAATATTTAATTTCGCCATGAAAAGCAAGCTTACCCGTCACACGAGATAACATACTTAATACTTCAATGAACACATGTTTTTGTAAATATTTTTTCCTACACCCTTTTTTATTAATAACTATTAAAGTGGTTATGATAATTTTAACCTATTGCACTCGAAGGCTTCTTTCTAGTACCGTAAATTATCTACCACATTGAATGTTACACAAATTTACACTTTTATGGTACTGTGCAAGCCTTATTTAATGGCCTCCAAGTGTTATATGGTAACTGTAGAAACTTTATTTAATGGCCTCCAGGCGTTATATGGTAATTGTGCAAACAGTGGACTTTTTGGGCAGGGATAGCCTGGTTGGTAGGGAACTGGAGCCATGTCCAAGAGTTCTTGGGTTCGATCTCAGCCGGCAGAAGACTCTCCCTGTAGTAACAGATGATTGATGTACGTTTCCTCCAGTTCCCATAACAAATCAATACCTCTGAGGGTACTGATCCAGGAGTTTTCCTGTTTTCTGGATTGGTTCAAAATTACAAGGCTACGGAGTTGAACATTAGTAGTCGTAAACCCAAAATTGGGTCGGCTGTTCATCGTCAGTTATGTATATAAAAAAAACAGTAGATATTGTTTCGGAAACTCGTAGTGAATGCATCAGTTTATTTTTCATTAAAAAAAAATCTGTAAGAAGATAACTGCAAAGTGCAAAGATAAGTTCAAAAGGTTAAATACTTTTTTATTTTAATCAAGCCTATATTCTCACCAGTTTCTAAATCTAATTTATTTTTAATGTACTTAAACTTATGAAATTTACATATTTATGTATTACATATTAAAGCGACTGCAAATTAAGAGAAATACTAGGACTAGGGTGTCATTAAAATGTTCTAAATTTCCGAATGACTTGGATATGTTTGGCAACTCGTGTGCATTTTTGATGAACATAATATAACATAGAACTTATCAAAACAGCATGACAGTATTAATTCCATATGTGGTTCTAACAAAGTTTACTTTTTAAAAGCACTTTAGTCGCTTATTTTTTGAAAATATTTTGGAAATATTTGTCTTATAATTGCAATTCTAAGCTAAAATATATAAGCAACTTTTTAAAGAAATAATAAAAAACATAAAAACCATCTAACTTTTTTCCCGACAATTAGAAAATAACAAAAAGTATCATTGAGCTTTAATAATTTAGCTGAATATTTAGACATAAAAAATTGGGTAAGAAAATTATAACCTCTTAGAACATTCTATTTTTTATCATTGATGTCATCTTGTAAGATGTGTTCATATTTGTTTGATAAGAATTGCAGTTCTAAACTAAAATATATAAGCAACTTTTTTAAAAAAAATAATAAAAAACATCTAACTTTTTTTCCAACAATTAGAAAATAATAAAAAGTATCATTGAGCTTTAATAATTTAGCTGAATCTCTAGGCATTAAAAATTGGGTAGGAAAATTATAACCTGTTAAAACATTCTATTTTTTATCATTAATGTCATCTTGTAAGATGTGTTCATATTTGTTTGATAAGAATGCAACCTATTGGAGTGATCTGAGAAAGTGCGTTAATCGGTTTTAACGACGTATCTTCAACCGTTACTTTTGACTTTTCAAACGTAAGAGGTAGAAGATTTAAGCGGATTAAACATAGCAATAACATCAAAATGCCATTGGTATACAAGATTGAGCTTCGAATGAAAATAATGGGAACACAAAGCCTTTAGAGGCGATGGCACTGAAGGCACAAAACAAATCGAACTAAATCGTAAGTAATAAAAAGATAATCGGTCCTGAAGTAATATTAAAGATATTTTTGATCTTTGGTATACTTTGCAAAAAATAAATAAATAAATAAATTTAAAAAACTTATCTTGAAGTTTTGAAAAAAGTATCACCTGAAATAATCTTTTTCTACAAATTATGTGAATTTATATTCTTAATTGTGTGAATTTATAATATTTATATGACAAATGCACTTATGCATTTATAGGAATATGCTTTTGATAGCTTATCTTATTTATTTATGAAATTATTTTTTATTAGGATAAGTATTTAGGATATTTTTTAATAACCAATTAGTTAAAATACTAAATTAATATAAACTCTGTTATATCCCAAAAATAAACTTCAGATAAAGAAATATATATATTAAAATACTTATTCTTTAATAAATGTTAAGAGGAAAAAACTGAGCCTGAATTATTCTTGTAACTTTTTTTTGTTTCTTTTGATTTAATGGTGGTAAATCTGCTGGCATTGAAACAAATAGATCGCAGAATATAAATTTTATTTCATAGCGTTTTAAATGCTTTGCGATGCGTTTACAATATTTTAAAGCACGTAAATAAAACGTTTTAGTTAAGGTTGTGAAAGGCGATTTCCTTTACGTCGGAATAATATTATTTTATGTAAGAAGTAAATAAAAATGTTTGTCTGTGAATTCAACTTTTTAAATTCATTTTATTATCTGCTTGCAGTTTTATTATTATGTATTAATTTTTTTTTATTTAAAAAGTATTTTATATCTATATTAAAACATATATTTTAAAGTGTTAGTTATACATACCTGTTTTATAATCTTTTTGAATACAAAACCTTTTTGAAACTTGTATTTATTTGAATATTATTGTATTTAAACCTTTAGAAATGTGCATTTTTAACCAAAATATTGTTCTGTTGAAGAAGAAATAAAATGATGTATGAAAATCTGAAAACTTGAAAATTTAAACAAAAATGAAAAAAATTCAAGCACCAAAAGCAATTAGCTTTTTATTATTGAAATACACTATTTTCAAGATTGAATTACGCATGTATTTTTAAAAGGACGCAGAGATTATGTTATGAATTGACTGCTTTTGTCATTTTATAAAACTGTGTGGTAGGAATTGGGTAATTCAAAATCGTGTGGTGTAAGAATCTGTGTGTTATAAAATACAGAATGCAAAAATTAATTTGGAGAGAATGAAATTTTCTCCATAGTTAATTAAAAATGTTAAGAATTTAATAGTTAATTAATAATGTCCTGTTAAATAGGATTTCAAATCTGAAATTATACATTTTCTCAGAAAGCTAAATATATATATAAATATATA